GAATTGGTTAACCTGGACAATATTCAAAAAGGATAAAGATAACTAGCACCCAAAAAGATAAGAATAAGCTAGTTGACAAAGTCAAAAAGACGAGATAGCTATCAGACAATAGTAATAAGGGTATAATCGATTGAGTTTGAACTGATATAACATTAAGCTCGAGCTCAAGCTCGACTCCAAATTTGTTGCTCAAAATTCAGTTCAAACTCGATCAAGTTTTTAAAAAAAAAAAAATCAAGCTACTTAAGCTCGCTCGATTAGTCTAGATTAACATGTAAAAATAAACTCAATTCTTATATTCAACAAAAGCTTGATTATTTGTACTCAAGCTCGAACTCAAGTTCAAGATATTTTATTAATTAAAATAATTAAAATATATTAAAATATAAAAGCTCAATAAGGCTTATGAACAACTTGAGCTGAGTATAAAATGCTCAAATTCGACTCGATCGATAAGTCAAGTTACTAGAACTTGAGCTCGACTGAATAAAAATCAACCCAAATTCTAGTTTTATTTAAATCGAACTCGAGTAGCTTGTAAGTACTAATGTATCACTTATACTCCTAACAATCACTATAACAATAACTTTAGTAAACAGCTATCAAACAACAGTCATTGTAGCAATCATTGTAGAAGGTACTTTTACTATTGAGTTTACTTTTGTAACTATAATTAACTCTACTTAGGTTACTTTAATTCTATAGATATAGGCTCTTTCATGGAGAAAGGCAGAGTCTTCAAGAGCCTCTCTCACTTCAAATTTTCTCTCTTTACACCTTCTTTTCAGCACCTTCCTATAATTAAGATTTATTATTTGTAAGATGGGATTTCCAAATATTGTTAAGGAGATTGTAGGTTTCTAGATTGAGACCTTTGAGTAAATCTGGGATTATAGTAATTTGATTAAGGAAATTCCTTTTTTGGGTTTTCCCTAATTCAAAATTTTTCCATTTTCGAAGAAATTGTAAAACATCTCATTACCAAGTTCCATAGAAATAATTAAAATTTTTTATTTATTCCATGAGTCTTTGTAATGGGTTACTACAATAGACATAGATTGTGCCTAATCATTTATGGTTTTTCCATATTTTGAGATTGGTGATTTTGATAAATCTAAATAAGTACTTCTTGAAGCAACATTTCTCTTGTTTAGAGATTCAATGTTGTTTGAACTTTGGGATGTTTGCCTTGGTTCTATTTGTTTTATCTCATCTTTGATTAAATGAGATGGTTGATGTTGTTCTATGATGTATGGATTCAGACATACCTAGAAATCTTAATAAATCATTAGTTTCTACCATCTCACTTAATCAAAGATGAGATAAAACAAATAGAACTAGGGTAAACATCTTAAAGTTCAAACAATATTAAATCTCTAAACAAGAGAAATGTTGCATTGGGAGGTGCTTATTTAGATTTATCAAAATCACCAATCTCAGAATATGAAAAAACCACAAATGATTGGGTACAATCTATGTTTATAGTAACCCACTACAAATACTCATGGAATAAAGAAAATTTTTTAAATTATTTATGTGGAACTTGGCAATGAGGTGTTTTACAATTTCTCTGAAAATGGGAAAATTCTGAATTAGGGAAAACCCAAAAAGGGAATCTCCTTAATCAAATTACTACAATCCTAGATTTACTCAAAGGTCTAACCCAGATATTAAAAAATGAGTTTTATGAAAGAATGGGTGAAGTTGATCCCAACAGTGAAGCTTAATATAATCATTCAAAACTAAAATTATGTAATATTAGAAACCTTGATGATTACTCTAAAAAATATATGAGCGAATATAAAAAAACTAGATTAAGAACATTCAGCCTTTTAGAAAGAGTAGTATTTTCATAAACTTCCCTCACCAAGGGATGAATTATGTTTACAGAATTCTCTACATATTTAGAATTACGGATAAAAAAGTCATTTACAGATTTACTAATAGCTTGAGGTTGAAATTTTAAAAAGGTTTCTATAAGTAAACTATGATTGTAAGATTTTTCTAGGCAAATACAATTATCTTCTTCAATCTATTCTATATTTTAGGTGCCTAAAACTATCCATTTTTCATAAAAAAGCTTCACAAAAACCAATTAAAAAGCTTAACACAAGCACAAACACCAACCACAAGAAACCATAAAAACAGAAATATGGGCTTCAAAATATAAAATAGATATCTCAAGATAATGTATAAGTTCAAAAGACTTACAAGATAGTTAACACTTCAAAAAAAACTTCTAGGCAAATTTTGATAATATTTCAATGTTGGTACACGGTGGTCATGTCGAAATTTGGGTTTGTGTAATGTTGAAATCTATGTTTCTATTTTTATTTCAATAATATTTTCTTTTTTTAATTAATAAATTTTTAAGATTATATTTAATGAAAAAAAATTGTTGATTTAAAAAATATTTTTTAAATTTGACGTTGATTAAAAGTTAAGCAACGTGGCATGGCATTTAATCCACATTAGTACACATCATATATACACCAATCAAAATGGCACATAGGAAAAGTCAATGAACATATCATCAAGTTAAATGTCACATTGGTATTTTTAACATTAAAAATTTAATATCATTAATAATTGGACTGAAATTATTAAATGAAAATAGTATAATGACTAAAATTTTACGAATTATGATAAATGGACTAAATTTCGAATTTTAATGGAGTATAAGAACTAATAATGAAATAAGTATATAATAAATTTTAAATATATAATAGGGTTAATGTCATGAATGACCATTAAATTATTATAAAATATTGAATGTGGTATCTTAATTTTAAAAATCTCTAATGTGATACTTAAATTATAATTTGTTAAATAATATGATACTCACCGCTAATGTGAAATAACAATATGTAATAGATAAAAAACCTTTCTAGTATCACATTAGTTAACAGATTCATAATTTAGGTATTACATTAAATATTTTTAAAGTTTAAATATCACATTAAAAATTTCATTATAATTTAATAGGGATTTCAATTTTACTCATACTTAATGAGAAATCTAGCTTTTTACTTTAATGCTCGTACATATACCTAATATTTATTTATATATATGTTATAAATAGATTTTTATTAAATAATGTAAATTTTTATTTTGAATTAATTATAACTAATATGTTTTTATTTAAAAACATAAATTAATATATATTTAGGTTAAATACAAAAATGGCCTATGTGGTATACATTTTCTATTAGTTTGATATCTAAAAAAAATAAAATTGTTAGTTTGTTACTCCAACTTTCATTCCATCATCCATATTAGTATTTGAGACTAATGCCATCAGTTAACTTGTTGACGCGGTATGAATATCCAATAAAATACTAATATGCATAAAGAAACTTTAGTCAATGCCACATCATCAATTACTACATCAAAATGAAAAAAAAAAAAAACTTTTTAAAAATTTTAATAAAAATATCAAATATTTTTAAAAATTATAAAAAAAAATTAAGAAGTTGAAACAGTTTTAAAAAAATTAAAAAAATTAAAAAAAATTATGAAAACTTTTAAAATGTAAAAAATCTCAAGATTTTAATAAAAAACTCCAAAAACCTTGAAAGAATTTTTGAAAAATTAAAAAAAAAAATGAAAATAAAAAGATAAGAAAAATTTTGAAAAACTCTAAGAATTTTTTAAAAATTTGTAAAATTTTTTTAAAAAGTTCTTAAATTTTTTCCTTTTTTGAATCTTAAAATTTTATTTTTATATAATTTTCAAATTATTAAAAAATTTTTGAATTTTTTTATTTTTATTAAATTTTTATGGTTTTTATGTTTTATTTTTTGAATTTTTTAAAAAGTTTTTACAATTTTTTATGATGTTTCAGTTTTTTCAATTTTTCAAAATTTCAAAAATTTCTAAAAATTTTTTAGAATTTTTAATTTTCAAAATTTTCAAAAAATTTTAGATTTTTTTTTTTTGGTTTTTCAATTTTTTTGATTTTTTTGAATTTTTTTGAAAGTTTCTTTTAATGTTGAAATAACAATTAATGATGTGGTATTAATTGGACTTTTTTTACATGTATCATAATTTTATTAAATACTCCTATGACGTTAGTAAGTTAACTAACAGTGTTAGTATAAAGTGCCATAGTGTATGACATAATGAAAATTAAAGTATCAAATTAATAATTTTTGCTGTTTAAGTACCAAACTAAAATAAAAATGTATGATACATAAATCATTTTTATATTTAATCCATATATTTATAAAAAATAACATTAATGTGAAAAAATAAAAACTAAAAAAGCTAAAAAATAAATTTTTATTTTTATTTTTAAAAAAAATTATTAGTATGTAAACTACTCATATCCACTAAATGCTCGTAAAAATTGAAGTAGAGATTTGAAATACCTTTTGAATAAGAATATAAAAATGAGTATAATATAAAAATTAAAAAATGTGGTTGAAAAATAATATACATGTCTTATATTTTATTCATTGATATTTTTATAATTTAAAAATTACTTTGTGATAATTTTTTATCAAAAAATACAAAAATTATTTTAATATTAATTTATGGACTCTATTGAAAATGTTGGACTTCAATTTTATCCTCTCGTATTCGAATCACTATATTTCGTCAATTAAAGTGTTGGGGACTTAAGTTTATATTTCGGGTAAAAAGTTTTTATTTATTTATTTGATAATGTTACGGATGAACCCCAATTTTTTCTCCTCCTCCGAAATTCACGGGTCGTGAGTGTAAACGACAAAAGTAACTGTCTGAGAAATCAAAGCAAACCATATATTTCAATAGCCAAATGTATAAAACAAAACCAATAAAAATAGAAATGTTATAACTTCAAAGTTATTATTTTTTTGTCTATAATTTCTGAAAAACCAACTTTTTTTAAAAAAAATTTTGTTGGCAAAATTCTTTGCATGTCGAGTGCTGCCCTGGTTTGATTTGCCAATCAACAGGGTGGGTTTCACACGCGAAATAGCCTTGGCATGAAAAATTCTCATGACCAAGCACAACGCCGAGCTAATGAGTTACATTCGACCATAATTTATGGCTTGTCATCTTGTTCAAAATTCAGAGAGTTGAATTTTAAAAACTGGCTGTTTTTTCAAAGGAGGACCAAGTAAACCCCTACCTAAATGGGATACAAGTATATATATTTTTCCCAAAGGAGGGTTATGAAAATTGAAAAGTATGACTTATTAGGATTGAAACAAACCGACTCAGCTGATGTTGTTGACTGTAAAAATTTGAGTAAAATCACAAACTCTGCCTGTTATCAGACAAAAGTCTTTTTGTTTCTGTTTCTAAATTTATGTCATACAATCAAGTTTCCCATGTGTTACATTCTAAATCACCGAATCTAATTCAGACAATTCCAAGACATTTATGCTGAAAGTAACGCAAGGATTGCTTTGAAAAGGGCATCTCCCCCTACTCCATTTTGCTTAAACCTAAAAAACGAGATGAATTAAGAAAATATACTCAAAAGGTCATTTAACCCTTTAATGGAAGCTGAGAAAAGTCTATCAAAAAATTGACAAATCGTAGGAATCTTGCATATTTTACACACTTTAAGGGATGCACTGTTCCCTTGGAAACATCATAAAACTTTGTTTTACCTTGTGATGTTGACTATTTTTCATTTGCACATTTAAGAAAGCTTTAGAAATTACCAAGCGGCCTGCTTTCGTGATAAAAGAAAGGGCCCACTTGCTCATTTGACTGCCTTTTTCTTCCTTCTAGCTTCAGATCTAAAAATCTAATTCATGGCTTAATCCTTGTTAACCAGAAAAGAACTTCTGGGTGTGTTTTTTTTTATTATTATTTTTCCTGTTTTACGAGTTAAAACAGGCAGGGCGAGGAAACAAAGGAAGGAGAGCTATGGGGTTGGTGGGTGTCCAAGAAAATGGAAATGGGGAAATGGCTTTGTCTTTGGGGAACAAGAACAAGTACAAGAGAATGGATTCTGAGCTATCAGATGGTTTTGATAATGATGCTTCACATCATAATCATCATCAACTAGAAAGGAAGAAAAGTACCAGGAAATATGTTCTTGCTTGTGCCATTTTTGCATCTCTCAACAATGTTCTTCTTGGTTATGGTAAGTTTTTCTCCTTCAAAAGTCAGAACTGCTCTGATTTCTTTCTGGGAAAATTGGAATTTTCATAGTTTTTCAGTTTCTTTGTTGACCTGCATGAATTTAGCAGGAAAATGTTATAACATTCAATCCTTAGCTTTATAAAGTTCATTGATATTGTTTATATAGAACCAGATAACATAGGCATAAAAAATGAGCAATATTTTCTTATCCTGTGAGTAAAAAATAGCAATAGTTAACCATCCAACCTAAAACTAATTGACAATAGATGGAGAGATCCAATTTGAATATAGATTACTGGGAAACAAAGGCTTAATTTATGTGAGATAGCACCACTTAACAATAATTTAGAAACTTTAACTCGGGTGAGTGGTTGATTGCCACATTTGTGGCTTATCCTTGGGATGCTTAAAATTCACCATTTTGGCTCAAAATCTATTTCTTTCATTCTATCATCATAAGCGGATCTTCGTTTGTATACCCTGGATATCTTATTATAGCTCATCTTCGTTGAGGATGCATCAGTGCATTTTGGAGCTTGCAAATCGTTAATGGAGATCATGGAGTTGAACATTCAGGAAAAACATGCTTTCACATTTTACATAGCATCAGCTAACTCATTTTTGCTGGCATATTTGTTTTATAGTAACCTTAGACTTAACCAACAGAGACCAAAATGCTGTCACAGTTAACCTGCCTGAATAATGAAAACTCCAGTTTAATAGGGGAAGTCTGTCTTTCCACAAGTTGATGGAACTGTTTTTTAATATTTTTTACACTAATGGATGCTTGCATATATCCCAATTTTCTGGAAGCAGTCTATTTATTTAGCGTGTAACGGTTCTCATAAGTATTTTAAACTCTTTCATTCCTTTTTCTTCTCTTATAGTCAGTGCAGAATGTACCACTTTAGATTAGTGAAAAAGATTTTCAAATTCAGTGTAGAAGTTCTTACGTGAGAAACTTACGTTCAATCCACTGAATTCTCTGAATAAAGTAATCCATGAACTTAGGAACATTCCCAAGAAGTACTGTTGGTTGTATTCCTTTTCTCTATTATTTCAACCTTAGAAGCTCTAGCTTAATTTGATCTTAAACTTTATCACAGATCCCCATGACATGTACCTGCAAAAAATTATCTGCTACATTTGTCAAGAATAAATTCATTCTCAACTACCTACTTTGATAGTGTTCTTCCTAACAACCAGTTTTAGTACACTTTGCAGCTAAGAATTACTCGTTTATGTACAGATGTAGGTGTCATGAGTGGAGCTATTATATTTATACAGGAAGATCTGAAGATAACTGAGGTACAAGAAGAAATCCTTGTCGGGATTTTGAGTGTCATTTCACTTTTAGGTAGCTTAGCTGGTGGAAGGACATCAGATATTATTGGTAGAAAGTGGACAATGGCCTTTGCTGCTGTTGTATTTCAAATTGGTGCAGCTATAATGACACTTGCACCATCATTCCAAGTACTAATGGTAGGACGGGTTTTGGCTGGGGTTGGTATAGGCTTTGGAGTCATGATTGCTCCAGTCTATATCGCTGAGATATCACCAACTATCGATAGAGGCTCTCTTACCTCCTTCCCTGAGATTTTCATAAATCTGGGAATTTTGCTTGGTTATGTCTCAAATTATGCATTTTCTGGTCTTTCGGTACATACAAACTGGAGGGTAATGCTGGCTGTTGGAATTTTGCCTTCAGTCTTCATAGGGTTCGCTCTTTTTATTATCCCTGAATCACCAAGGTGGTTGGTCATGCAGAACCGAGTTGAAGAAGCAAGATCTGTGCTATTAAAAACAAATGAAAATGATAAAGAGGTGGATGAGAGGCTCTCAGAAATAGTAGCAGCAGCTGGAATGTCTAATGGAGATAAGAATGAAGAGAAAGCTGTGTGGCGTGAACTGTTAAGCCCTTCTCCTTCACTTCGTCAGATGCTGATCACCGGATTTGGAATCCAGTGTTTCCAACAAATCACTGGAATAGATGCAACTGTGTATTATAGCCCTGAAATCTTCAAGGATGCTGGGATTGAAAGTAATTCTAAGCTTCTTGCTGCAACAGTTGCTGTGGGTGTCACAAAGACAGCTTTTATATTGATTGCTACATTTCTTGTTGATAGAGTTGGGCGGAAACCCTTACTCTATGTGAGCACAATTGGAATGACTGTGTGTTTGTTTTCCTTAAGCCTTAGCCTCGCCTTACTGGGGAATGGGCAGCTTGGAATTGCACTGGCAGTCTTGTGTGTTTGTGGTAATGTAGCTTTTTTTTCAGTGGGAATTGGTCCTATATGCTGGATTTTGACATCCGAAATCTTTCCCTTGAGGTTGCGAGCTCAAGCATCTGCTCTTGGGGTTGTAGGTAACAGGGTATGCAGTGGTTTTGTTGCCATGTCGTTCCTCTCTGTCTCTCGTACAATTACAGTTGCTGGAACCTTTTTCCTCTTTTCACTGTTTTCAGCTCTTTCTGTTCTCTTTGTTTACAAACTTGTTCCAGAGACAAAGGGAAAATCATTGGAACAGATTGAGTTGCTTTTTCAAAATCATAATGAATGGCAAGGAGTTGAAGTGGAGCTGGGAGACTCTGAGCATCTGGTACAGAAAGCATGAGTAATCGGGGATTGGCCGGTGCAATTTTCTTGGTGGAATCTTGCAATTTTTGTGGTTTAATGATTGAAGTGGAAGAGGTAGGAACCATATGAAAATTTACATCATTACAGATCCATTAATGCGCATCAGCGTGGAAGAGTTGGATTTCTAAAGTGAATGTTTCCTAGCGCCCTAGGTATCTGCAATTGAAAGCTCTGTAAGTTGGTAACCAAAAGGAGTAAGTATAATGTTATATGAGGTGCATTATTACAGTCAGAAGCATGCCCAAAGTTATATTTGTTTGCCATCTCTTCCTATACTGTTGATTTATCTTGAGATCCATGAGAAAATAGTATTCATGTTAGAGTTATAGCTTGGATTCTAGCCAAATACTTCCCTGTATCAGTATTTGATTTCCTCACACAAATCATAATAAATTTTACCATACAATGGATGGAAAATAACAGGGTTTTGCTTCTTCATGTTTGTACCTTTTAGGCATGTCATACGATGTTTAGTTCAATGAATATGGGAATCATTTTAAATCAAACTTTAAGAGATCAGCTTTTTAATTTGCAACATTTTCCAAACTTTAATTTAAAATGTGAAAGATAGCTTCTGATGTCTTTTGTTTTGTTGTCCTTTTTCTTGTTTAAGATTTGCTTTCTGGATGTTGGAATCCCCGTATGTTAAATTCAACTTTTCTGGTTCCTTAGGTTTCATTTGTGATGGTTAACTTTCTTAGCTATTATGATTTGAAAACTATGTTGGGGGCAGCATTCTAAAAAACAAGACTCAAACAATCTTACCGGGTAGAACCGACCCCCCCCCCCCCCCACCCCCACCCCCCACCCAAATAGTAAATGTGTTTGAAAGCGAAGATAACAATGAATCGGATCAAGATGAATTTTTACTTGTCTCAAATTTGATCCAACTTTATATTAATAAAACCTGAACCCAACTTGATCCAAAGAATTTTTTTTTTCATATCCAAATCCAATTTGATCCGATATTGCATAAATCGTGCTCAATTTAATTCGAAATTAATAAAATATTATTTTTTTAATATAAAATATTATTTTTTTAATATAAAATATTATTTTTTTAAATATTAATATATAAATTTATAATTATATAAATATATATAAATAATTAATTAATTAATTAAAAATAATTTTTATATGATATCAAGTTGAGTAAAATTTGCTTAAAATTTAAATTCGATCTAATCTTGATTTTTTTTTTAATATTATCTAACTCGATTTGAAACCTAATTTTCAAAAAAAAAAAAAAATTCTATAGGTTCGGATCAAGTTAGAATCCGCTGAGGCGAATTGGGCTGTTAATCTTATTTCAAAGAGCTAAAAACAGTGAAAAGAGTAAATTTTGCATCTTAAAGGGGTGCTTTACGATAGACAAGTTTCAACATATCCTGAATATCTCAAAGAAGATAAAATAATCACTACCACAAAATGTGTAAATGCAGTGATAATATAGCCAAAGAATCAACATCAAGCTTTGAATAGATGCTCAACTCAAGAGAAAATCTCGACTCTAACCTTTCATTACCTTTAGTTGTCTCGTTTAGAAACTTCTAATCGCACGCCGAAATGGAACGGTCTAACACAAGAAATTCTAGTGTAGAGCCTAGGCTTCATATAACAGAGTTTGGAACAGGCCTGACGTATATACGACAGATGTTTCAACTTAATCAAAAATTTTCAATATCATGCAAGTCCTGCAATGATTTCCCTGCATGAGTTCCGAGACATGATATGGCATTCATGGAGGCATCAGCTGATGGCGTTGGCTAATGGTTTTCGACAAAATAGCTCCAGATTGGAGTGTTATGGCTTTATGGGCTGTCTCAACAGCCGCCAGAAACAGAGAAAGCAACATTAAAAAACCTTGGTTAATGATCCTTTGGTCACTATTGGTATATTGTTAATTTCCTAGCTATAACAAGTCAACCAACATTTAGACGGCGAGACGATTTGGAGTTACTGAATTCACGTTTAAAAGAAGTTACAGTATAAGTTTTCCTCTCAATCAAGGGAATGAAGGTCAAATGTAAAGTTTTGATTTTATTGTTTGTATAGAAGATGACATTTTTTTCTGAATATGCACTAGCGTCCACACTACGCTGTGGTAGGAGAAATATTAATGCTTTAAAAATATGTAATATATGCAAATGTATTAAGAATGTACTTCGATTTATATTTTTTCTTTCACTAATGTAATTGCCATCTACAGTTTTTGTCTATGGTAGCACTATAAGTTGTAGAACATATATATAATATATACAAAAAATATTTTTTCTTCAAGTCAAGATTGATGAAATAGCAAACATGAATTAGGTTCAACATATTTTAAAGAAAAGTTATCATAAAATTTTTTGAACCGTCCGTTAATTGCTTAATAAATTAAGTTTTATACCTCCATTATGCATTTCACCCCTTAAATTCTTTGCTGCAAGACATTGAAGTGTCTTTTGCGATTTTTCTCTATTGTAACAAAAATGCTTATTAAAAAAAAGAACCTTAAAACTATAAAACAGTCAACTATAATGGAATCCTCTAGGCAAAACTTATAACCAATGACAACAACTTATTTATCTTTTTAACAATAAAATCAATTCAACAATTTTTATCTTTTGGGTTTGAGCCTAGTCAATTAAAATGCATTACAATGCATTAACAACAAAATCAATTTGACAATTTTATATTTAAAGCATTTAGAGACTCAATGTGATAAAATTTTTATCTTGTCATGAAAGATTTAAACCCCTTTACATGGCATACCCTTAAGCAACAAAAATAGTTAATAGAAAAATTGAAGAAATAAAACATGCTTGAAAATGAGGAATAACTGTATAAACTTGAAAATTTACCCTTAAAAGTTATAAAAGGGGTAGAAAAAAGCAGTCTAATTATACATCAAATTTGACCCAAAAAAAAGAATAGAAATAATTAATAAAAAAATGCAGAATCTCACTTTACCAATTCAACCAATAAAAATTCTTCTTGCAATTCAACCAACAATCGGTTTTAATAACTAATAATGCTAAGAATGGTAGTGAAAAAAAAAAAAAAAGCTCACTACCATATTTAACATTTGAGTAAGTTTAATTTATCAATTTAAGTTAGCTACATACCTAAATGAACAAAAAACTTGGTTTAAAAATTTTAAGGAATGAGAAATGCTTAAAAAGCCTAAAATCAAAAAGTTTTTTGACAAACCAAGTGAGATTTGTTTAAACATTAAGCAATATTAATATCACAAACCTAAGTTATCCATGTGCTAAATGAGGAGCAATTCCACATGCTTGTTAATTTACCTTTAAGAGTCATGAAAAGTCGAAAAAATAGCTAAAATCACCCAAGTTTAATAACAAATCAAGCAAGACAACATTGTTCTACCAATTGAACGTGTATTTGCAATAAGAAGTAGGAACATCTGCATCATTGCTGACACAAACGTGTAAAAGACAAAAGATGTTGTTTGAGACTAATTTAAAAATTATAAATCTATTTGAGTGTTATTGTTTAATCAAGATGTCATTTTCTAAGTCAAAGTAACTAAGAATGGAAACTTGCATATTCATACTCGACTCTTTCTTCTCACTGCTTGATTTCAAGTATATGCTGTTGAGAAAAAATAATAATCCAAAGTAATAATGTATAGAGTTGCAAAGACAAAAAAAATCCACACACATCCAACTATGGACTTGGCTAACCTAAACAATCGCATTCATATCACATATAATTTTTACATCATTTTATTCTTGAAACTCTAATCAATTCTACTACCACCCATAGGAAACAAGTTGCATCATTCTATTCTTAAGTTATGCAAATATCCTATACTAAAAATTGTTTCAATAAATGTTCTCTAACTTTACCAAATACTATAACTCAAATTTTAGGAGAATATATAGCTAAAACTAGGGGAAAAACATATGAAATCAGACTATAAATTCCACAAATTAAGTAGAAAAAAGAAAAAAAAAAAAAACAAACCTAAATTAATCACTTTCCTCTCTCTATAAAAACCCATAGAAACTAAAATGAATAAAAAGAATTCAAAGTTTAATCACTTTCAACTCAAACCAAACAATACCCCGAAAGTGAAATATTCCATAAACCTCAAAGAAATTCAAAAGTTAAGTACCTTTAACTAAAACCAAGTAATACTCAGATTCTAAAACACTCCAAAACATTTTTTAAAAAATAAATACAAAAAAAAAAAAAACCAAAGTTATTACCTTGATATGGAGAGATCCAGACCATAGCAGAATCTGTCTTTTTTTCTTACTTCCCTTCTTCCTGCCCACTCTTTCTACAAATCCCAAGTAATGTAAGTAATGAATTCCTTATAAACCCGCAACAAATAATAATCCCAAGTAATGCAATATGGAGTAAAGTCACAAAAATCCATACACATCCAATTATTGGCTTTGCCAAAACACTATACATCACATACATATCACTTTTACATCATTTATTCTTAACAAAATAAAAAACAATTTGCATCATTTTGAGCTTAAGGTATTCAAATATCCTATACAAAAAAATGTATCAACAAATGTCATCAATTTTACCAAAACACTATAACTCAAATTTTAGATGCAAATATGGCTAAAACCAAAGAAAAAAAAAGAAACATATGAAATCACATTATAAATTCCACAGATTGGCCTAAAAAAAAAACCATAGATTAAGTATAGAAAAGTAAAAAAAAAAAAAAAAACCCAAATTAATCACTTGCCTCTTTCCATAAGAATCCATCAAAACTAAAGTGAATAAAAAAGAATCCAAAGTTTAATCACTTCTAGCTTACACCAAACAGCATCCTAAAAGTGAAAAACTCCAAAAACATAAAAAAAAAAAAAAAAAACTACAAATTTAAGCACTTTCAACTAAAACCAAGTAATACCCAGATTCTAAAACACTACAAAACATTAAAAAAATAAATATGAAACAAAAAATAAAAAGCCAAAGTTATTACCTTAATATGGAGAGTTCCACCACCAAACTTACTATCAGTGTTGTTATGGAACTCCATCCAAGCTATGTTCTCATAAAAGCATGAACTTGAAAATATAGTAAATTTCAAGTCATTGATTCCAGAAGGTTGATAATCATTTTACCAGTGCTTTTGATTGTGGAATGCTCAGATGTCTTCTTCTTTCTTCCTTTATACAAAATTGTTAAAAAAGTATTTAGAAATTTAAATAAGTACAAGAACGTAAGAAAATTTAACTTAATCGAGACAAAAAGTTTACAAAATTTGAGAGATGAACGACTTTTACCAAGTATTGCCACGACTGAAGGAGTTGTAGATGTGATAATGGTTCATGTTCAAAAAATTAGGGTCCTAATTAGAAAATTGAGAGAGTGGTGGAGGGTTTTTTCGATAGAAGATTTGTTAGGAGCTTTTTGAAGAAAGAGAATTATTGTTTTGAAGGGAGAAGATTTGAAAGAGCTTTCCCTGGTACTTATTTTGAAATTCAACGAAATTTTTTTAGAGAGGTTTACAATTTTTTGAAGAAGACTTGGAAAGAATATGCGAGGTAGTCAAACGGAAATGCAAAAAATATATATATATTTTTTACAGTTTTCTTTTTTTATTTTTTATTCTTTTCTTCTTCACTTGCGAGGCAATCAACAATCCTAGTTTCAAGTAAATTGACTACCAAATTCTTTGAACCAAAGCTAATGATATGGAAATCATAAGATCTTATTTCATTAGTTTAAATTTATTCAAGAAAAAATGAGATACGATTCTTTTAATATTTAGTTAACCTTTATTTCAAAAATTATTGGAATATTTGAATTAATTACAATCTTAAAAGTTGAACGTTGTTAGCTTTTTAGGTGAGATGGTAATCTAAAAAATGGTAAATTAGATTAGTCCAAGTTTTTTTCAAATAATGATTTCAAAATAATTAAATGAAAAATTAAAATTAATATTAAAATATGATGCAAATGATAACAATTGATATATTTAGAAGTATATATAATCAACAATGAAAATAAAGAGATAGGGACAAAAAAATCAAACACAAAAATTTATAAAGGTTTGGCCTACGTCTTTTCTTTTTGGTTATCCACACCAAGACTTCAATCCACTAATTTTGAATTGAAAATACAACCTTACCTTTTTCTTAAGGCTTAGAGCAACCTAACACTCTTTACTTTTTAGGCTAAGTAGTAACCTCTCGATCTCATAAATTCAAGAAGGTACCTCACCCATTGATTATAAAATCACTTAATAAAAATGCAAACTTAAAACACCTCTCAAAGGCTAAGTGTTTGCCAAGTTTAAATACAAGAAAATGATGAATGAACAACAAAAAAAATTATTTGGATATAATAAATATAAAGATATAGACTTTAAAGCTTTAAAACTCGTGATTTCTTTAAGAGAATGAATATATGGCTTGTTTGACCTTGCTCTCTTGATTCATCAACTTTTTTTGTGTTTTGGAGTGTCCAATTTATAGAGAAATTGAAGAACTAACCATTGGGGATGGTTTGGAAAAAGAAATGCTCGTTGAAAGCTTGAAAAAACTAGCCGTTTGAGTGTTTCTAGACATAGAGGATTGATCCCTTTTTGGTATCAATCCATCCCATTTTTAGGTAATTAATCCCCTAGTCTGGGTAATCGATATATTTTTAAATCCTAGAGCAAAATTTGCATTTTGGATAAAAAAACCAATTGATCCCTTTTTGAGGGGATCAATCTTGTCCAGCAAGATGGTTGTCTTCTGTTTTGCACTCTACTCACTAATTTGATTATATCTTCAGTTATACAAATCCAAATCAAAAATCATTTGAAGATTTAGAAACTAGACTTAAAGGCCTTTCTATCTATATAAAATTTATCACTAATTCATTGTATATGAATTATAGTGAATTTTCAAAACTACCTTTTGTGCGATTTTTAGACAACTGCAAAGTATCTAGTAAAAATTTAAAATCTTTTTTTAAAAATTTGGATTTTGATTTTGTTTGATCTATTAGAAAGTAGACTCAAAGAGCTTTCCAGCCATATAAAACTCAAATATTAAAGCTTTGTGAGTTAATATAGAAAAATAAAATAAATTCAATGTTGGAAAACTTTGTTATTGTAAAACAACTTTATTAGGTTAATCTATTTCTCAAAACTAATATTATCAAAATTGTATTAAGTCCAAAATGAATAAGTTCACTTTAAAAACAACAATTGGATTGTCATTTAAGCTCAAATAAATAATCTTTAAAGATAGATTTGGTTTGAGAAATATGAAAACAAAGAAAGGTTTGTTTACACTTTGAAAAACATTATTTATTTAGTATCAAAATATAAAACTTAAGAAGATGTACTAAATAAATCTTTTTCAAAATCTTGATCAAGCTTATTTAGCTTAATGTTTTGTCATTTCAAAATAAGGATCAATTCAAGACTAACAATCTCTCTTTTTTTGATATGACAAAACTTAAAAATTAATTTGCTTTATAAAAAAAATTTTTTAAAGACATATAAAATTTTGAAAAATATTTTGAAAAACTCTCTCTTTAACAATGCATGGCAAAACTCTCCCTTAATTAATGCATCCTAATCAAACACAACTCAACAAACATATATTAGTCAAATAAATGAAATAAGTGCAATCAAACAATGCATGTCAAGCACAAGCAAATTTGTCCATATGATATTTTTCTCCCTTTTTGTCATAGCAAAAAGGCATGAGCATATTAATGAGCAAATAAACACAAAGAGGCATCATTAACAAATATATTCATGAAACATTTCCCCTTTGTTGTTTAAGCTCTTTATACCAAATGTTTAAGCTCCTATATCAATTACTATAAGCATACAAGAAGAAATATCTCTAAACTCTCCTTCTTTTTGTCATTTCAAAAGAAAGAGAGATCAATTCAAGATATGGGATAAAATGATTGATACCAATAATATCAAGAGTGTTTTGAATCTAGTAATCAAGTGTAATATGCACAATGAAGTTCACATTCATGTATTCAAGCACAAAAGTATAAGTATATCCAATTAAAATGTTATAGCATAAAATCATTCATTCAACCTAACCACATAAAATTTATGAACGAAAAGATAATAAATGATATGCAACCTACTCATAAATCATGTTATCATAAGATGTGCTTAAAACCTAAAACGTCAATAGCAATTAAGCATAAATTCAAACACATGCATACAAGCTCATACCAATTGTTAAAGATATCAATTGTTAAAAATATGTCATCAAAAAGCATACCAATTGTTATCCCAAAACAAATCAAGCAAAATTGTATTCTAAGATTTCTTCTCTTTTCCAAAATAAGGATTAATTAATTTAAGGCATACATAATTTTGCATGAAAGGTATAAGCTATATCAAGGATAAGTACATAAATAAGCATCTATGAAAGTTTAAAAAATCTTTAGCAATTTTGATGTCAATTGTTAGCAATTTTGATACCAATTGTTAGCAATTTTATTCACCAACTTTCATAAAGTACATATACTTCAAGCATATGAAAGATTCATTCAATACATGCATAAATGATAATAGTAATCTTTCATAAGCTATCCTATCCAAACATGAACCAAAAGTTCATATGTATTTAATAAAGCATGAATACTAATGAGCAATAGGGTTCAATTATCATTATGTCATAACAAAGATTATTCAAGCATTTTCCAAACATGATGAACACATAAGCTATAGCAAAGAAATAATAATAATATAATTATTCAAATATATTCCTATATATTTCAATGCATAGCAATGAACTTAATCTAAACATATGCAAGTATCTTGTTAGCTTTTAAAGTGAGATGGTGATCTAAGAAGGAGGTGAATTGAAAATCTCCAAAATTTTCTCAAACAATGATTTCAATATAGTTGAATGGAAATTAAAACAATAAGCATTTTTTATGAAAATATAATGCAAATAATAACAATTAATGAACCTAAAATCAAATATAAACAATAATAAATTGTAAGTAGATAGAGATAGAGAAATCGAACAAAATGATTTATAGAGGTTCGGTCCTTCTTCATAAGACACCTACGTCCTCTCTTCTTGGTTATCCACACCAAGGCTTCAATTCACTATTCTTAAATTGAAAATACAACCTATCTTTTTCTTTCTAAGGCTTAAGATAGAAATCTCTACCCTTTGTAGTATTTTACCCAATCTTACTACATAGCTCTCAAGAGGATACCTCACCTCTTGTTCTCTTCCACCCTCGTATATCAAAGGTAATTTTGCAAACAATAGAACAACCTCTCTAAGGCTGAGTGTTTGCTAAGTTTAAATACAAGAAAATGATGAATGAACAACAAATAAAAATTGGATACAATAAATATAAAGATATGAACTTTGAAGCTCTAAAAACTCTTGATTTTTTTGAGAGAATGAAAATATGACTTATTGGCTTTTGCTCTCTTGATTCATCAATCCTCTTGGTGTGTTGGAGTGTCCAATTTATAGAGAAATTGAAGAAGTAGCCGTTGGGGAAGCTTGAAGTGAAAAAATGCCCATTGAAATCATGAAAAAGTAGTCGTTGGTATGCTTGTGCCCAAAACTGATCGATCCTTTGCTTGAGGGAATCGATTGGTTCATATTTTGAACCATTTTTCACTTGAAAGTAGCCTAACCGATCGATCATTTTTTGTAAGGGATGGATTGGTTAATGGGGTGATCGATCCCCCATGTGGGATCGATTCCTTTTTTGGACTTTTAGTCCTGGGAGCATTCTCTTTGAAAAAGCAATCGATCCCTTCTAGAGGGGATCAATCCTGTCTATACTGGGTGGTAGTCTTCCGTTTTGCACTCTACTTACTAATTTGATCATATCTTGAATTATAAAAATCCAAATTACAAACCATTTGAAGATTTAGAAACTAGACTTAAAGGGCTTTCTATCCATATAAAGTTCATCACCTAATTCACTGTTTACAAATTATAGTGAATTTTTAAATCTACCCTTTGTGCAGTTTTTAGACAATTGCAATGTGTCTAGTAAAAATTTACAAACTTTTCTTAGAAAATTTGGATTTTGATTTTGTTTAATCCATTAAAAAGTAAAGTCAAAGAGCTTTCCAATCATATAAAATTCAAATATTAAGACTTTGTGAATTAATACAGAAAAATAAAACAAGTTCAATGTTAGAAAACTTTGTTCTTGTAAAACAGCTTTCTTAAGTTAATCTATTTCTCAAAACCAATGTTATCAAAATTGTATTAAGTTCAAAATGAATAAGTTCACTTTAAAAACAACAATTGGACTTTCATTTAAGCTTAAATTAATAATCTTTAAAGATAGATTTGGTTTGAGAAATATGAAAACAAAGAAATGTTTGTTTAAGCTTTGAAAATTATATTATTTATTTAGTACCAAAATATAAAACTTAAGAACATGTACTAAATAAATCTTTTTCAAAATCATGATCAAGTTTATTTAGTTTTAATGTTTTTTATTTCAAAATAAGGATCAATTCAAGGCTAACAATCTCCTTTTTTTTTATATGACAAAACTTAAAGATAAATTTACTTAATGAAAAACTTTTTTTGAAACATTTAAGA